AGTGGCGAACGCGTACTCGTTACGATTACTTTAAACGTAAGACAAACTCGTACTAAGGCCTCTGGTCGGGCGGCGAGTCACCCGTGCTCGCCGTCCGTGCAGCAGGGCCTTGCTTACGGTGGCCGGAGATCGTCTCACGATCCCCGACGCCCGCAGTGTCTCTCGCGACGGCCGGGTCGTGAGGAGGTTCGTTCCCTCACGCGCTCCGCCTCCTCCTTAGCTAGCATGACTGCTTCGGAGAAGGAGGAGACGGCATCCCAGTCCCCCTCGCTCCGTGCCATGGTCTGAAACAGGTGCCAAACCTAGGACACTTTTTTTAATAAAGATGTTTTGTAACCACCGGTGCATAGCTTGTCTTTATATTGAGACCTTATAATTGTATTCCGGTTAGTTGTTTGTAGGTATCCTTTGAAGTAGGGAATAATTTGATGTTACTTTTGACAAAAATAGAAAGTTCTAATATGTAAATGCAAGGAAAAGTTAATAGTTTACTATTTACAAAGTAAGTTTTGACTCTTAAACAGCGTTATTGGGCTTTAAAAATATTTTCCCGCTCACAACAGTTGCCCAGAATATAACACCAAATCTCAGATTTGGCACTACCAACCAATGATAAGCGACTATTATTGCATCCATTATTACTTTTTTTAAAAGATTGTGCAGTACATATGCCTATTCAAGTACTTAAATATTTTTAAGCACTTATTCATTAATGGGTGTTTATACCTCTAAATCATCATAATAGTAAGTTATTTGTAATTTAGTTCATCTTAAAAAGTATTTAGTTTGACCTATGTAGTACCTATTATTGGTTGCTTATTTGACTAATGCTATCCCCACTATACCTATGTTAGGAAGTTACCTATACCCTAGCGGCCATGGCAGATCATTCTGGAAATAGCATTCGGTGGAGTAAGAAGTCGAATTGTTACTGTAATACTGTATCGTGTGGGAATGATAAAGTGGAGTGTGCGATACGTTACCTGTTTTATTTCCTGACTAATAGTACCATCTCAGAGCTATATCCTTACGTTAGTACGTGATGTTTTCTTAGTTGTATACTTAATAATTAATCCCACCAAAAACATAAATGTAAAAAAGGGGAGCCAAGTTCAGCCCAAATATTATGCTTTGACGTGGGCTTCGCCGAAAAAAGAATGAAGATCTAAATGAGTGCCAAGTTCTATGCGAAATTTAAATATGTATCTATAGGAACAAAATAACGTTATGAACGAGAATCAAACTATATTTCTTTGCTTTATTGGATACCTATAATAATTGCTGTTATCTAAAAATGTGAGATCTTAAAGTAGGTTAGATTTGACTTTGCCAGTTTTCATCAGTCATTATTTTTATAAAGCTTTTCAATATTTTTATACTGATAAAAAATAGCCAAGTCAAATCTAACCTACTTTAAGATCTCACATTTTTAGATAACAGCAATTATTATAGGTATCCAATAAAGCAAAGAAATATAGTTTGATTCTCGTCTTGAATCCAATTCCGATCGATCGACATTGGTATTGTGAAATGTTGTACTCTTGAGTTGCAATACTAGCGCCCATTGCATTCATATTGCGTGAATATTTTATGAACTAAATTGTACTGAATGTGGCTTTATATTCCGTACTCTGAAGACTATTTTAATAGCTACGATAGGGGTTGTATAATTTTGACATTGAGTAATTATTGTGATTTTATTGGATTGAAATTGCATTGACATTGAGATTGGTTTCAAGAGTAAGCACCCAGGTATCGAGATTTAATCTCTTTTCTTGCGTTTGCGTTGCGTAGTTTTCTTTGCTACGATATTATTGTGTACACTTTCTTGAATGTTTAAGATATTAGTGCGCATTACCCATTCTGTATCTGCTACCTTTTTAATGCGCTTCCTGTTGGTAATTAAATTAGGCAAACCCGGGCGATATAATGATCTCAGACGGTTATATTCTAGTATGAGCTATCTTGGGCCTTAATTTGACTAGGGTCTAGATTAATTAGGTGTACCTAACCACAAAATTTATAATCAAATCGCTATCGCTTATTATTGTGTAGGTACCATTCGTCAGAGCGTTGTAGGTTAGGTAGGTTCAGCGCCGCCGGCGCCGCGCCTCGCCACGCTGCACGCCGCGCGCCGCACGCTTTGGCCGCTTGTTTAGAGCGTACAAAGCGCGTTAGGTATTATAAGATTTTTGTACCTATCAAACCCGTAACCCCAGAGAGACAAGGGCGTTGTCGAACTTTTAGGAATTCGAGATAGGATATTGGGCCTCTGGTCACCCTATGTATTGTTATAGGCGATTATGATTCTTATAACTATGTATTCATGGTTCAATTTCCTATAAATAAAAATATTGCAACGTAACTAAGGTACCTACTTATTATTTGTAAACACCAGAACAGAAATGTTACAAATACATTGCCGAACGGATTGGAGATTGGGCATTGGGGATTGGGGATTGGAGATTGGGACTGGATTACCATGGTTATTAAGGTTACTATAATTATACGTATTTCTTGAAAAAATAAAAACAATATTTTTCTTTTGTATAAGCGACTATGTGTCTTACGTTTATGAAAACACGGTTCAATTTCCTATGAACAATAACAGTAGAAAATAACGTTTGTATGGGAACACCACTTATTTATGAACTTTTTGTTACTTTTGGATTTTTCCCATTGGTTATACACAATAACAGAGCTGTATTCCAAATTTCAAAGTTCTAGGACATCTGGAAGTAGGTTAGAAGCGACTATGTGTCTTAAATTTATGTAAACACGGTTCAATTTCCTATGAACAATTATAGTGGAAAAGTACGTTTGTATGGAGACAACACTTACTTATTAACTTTTTGTTATTTTTGTATTTTTCCCTTTGGTTACACACAATAACCGAGCTGTATTCCAAATTTCAAGGTTCTAGGTCATCTGGAAGTAGGTTAGAATTTGCTACTATACCTATGTCAGTCAGTCAATACTAAAATTTGCGAACTTTGGACCTTCATATCTTTACAACCGTTTTGAGCTACCTTCATGAAATAGTCGAAATTTTGTACAATTCCCTTGTTAGAAGCAAATTGGAATTTGCGGCATGTGTTTGGAGTCCATATGAAGTGACGTACACATTAGTAATAGAAAAGATCCAAAAGGCCTTTCTACGTTACTTGTACAGGAGTAAGTACGGATACTATCCATATATGTACCCTACGAATTTTTTGCTGGGTACTCTGGGATACAACTCTCTGGCTGTACGGCGATCTCGGATACAGATCATAACTGCACTAAAGATTTTGCGGAATGTTATTGATTCACCAGAATTACATAATCTATTATGCACCATCTACGTCCCAGACAACTACCTGCGCCACCGCCGCGGCCGCCGGCACAGACTACTCGTGAACCCGCGGGGCCGCACTGTATCACGCGCGCACTCCCCGCTTTGTAGCATGCGCAGCGCAATCAATGCCCTCACTCTGGAGCTACCCGATTGTGACGTATTAGCCGACAGGTTTAACCAAATTGTACTGTTGACCATACAATTTTGTGAAAATGTTGTACTAAATTGTAAATAACATGTAGGTATATTGTGACTTAATTCTTACGAACAGTTACCTACTATAATATAATATTTATTACTGTTTCTTTTTTCAAATGTTTTGTGGGTACTTTGAGTCTGACAAGTTTGACATAATGATATTTTCTGATTAATCTTGACATTTCATATGGTTTAGGTTCTGACATGAAGTTGAATTTTATTTTATTTTATTATATTTCTTTTAATGTTGACATGGATTTGAATGTGTATTTGTAATATTATAATTGATATAATGGTCTTATAACAAATTAATTAATTGCTGTCATTGGTGTAACCGTTGTAATTAATATAAATAAATAAATAAATGAAATTTTGGATTCTACATGTCCTTACGGATAAAATGAAACGTACGAAGTTTTATGTGTTTACGTTAAATAGTTTTTGAGTTGTAGAGGGGTCAAAAGTGGCACGAAGTGGTTCGTGTAAAGATACACTGTGGCGCGCGCTGTTTGCTGAACTTGGCTGACGCGCGGCCGCGCGTCTCGGTAGGTATGTTTTTCAGTACTTTATCACGTAGGTTCGTTCATGTGTGAACACAGTTTATAATAAGCGCCAATAATATTGGCGGGGTAGTCAGAAATGAAACAGAAACCTAACCCGAAATATCTTGGAAACCAAACCACCGATTTCTAAGTTTTCAGTTTTCGGTTTTTAGCGTAATCCTCTAGACTTCCAATACCCATTTCGGTAGTGTTTGTAGCCGAGGGTTCAACCCCTTCAATATTTTCCACCCCTAAAACTAGTTTCCTGATTCCGTGCTGGTGTTCCAGGTTTCCATGGGCGACGCCGATTGCTTACCATCAGGTGATCCGTGTGTTCGTTTACCGCCTTATTCCATAAAAAAGTTTGGGCCACAATATTTCATTCAACATTATATAACTGTTTTCATATTTGACTTAGGGCGACGAAATTCGCAGCACATCTAGTGACTCATAATCCACGATTCGGATAGGTTTTTGCCTCACAAACTCCTGACGTTTCGCGAGAAATTCTTGTAATCGACAAAAATTACTTTCCTCCATTTTTGTGCAGGTAGGTAGGTAGTAATGTTAACTTGTTCGTTGTGGGCACAAAGTTTGTGTTTACAGGATCTATAGTAGAATTGTAGAATGTGTGCTTGACTAACTCTAAATAAATGAAAGGTCACGTTATTTTTTATTTTTTTAAATCGGACAAGCCCGCCACAGCCTCCCAAAACCGCTGCAACTCCTGTAAAGGTCACGTTACCCAACACCCACTGCAAGTTATGAGTGTCAATGGGGGCGCAGATTGTTTACCACCAGGAGATCGGTGTCCTCGTTTGGCGGCCTATCCCATAAAAAAGTAAAAAATAAACCGAATTATGGGTAAGTACATTACATAGGTACAATGTACATTGTCGTGTTATCATCACTTCCTTTACTCCGCTATCAGTAGCGGCGCGGCAGTACTTCAGTAGATATGCAATCGTCGCAGTGGGTGAGCGGCGCACAGTTGTTGTGCTAAACCATGAATAAAACATTATTTTCATGTAAGTGCTTTATATTTAGTGGCATTACTTTGTTGTGGTTTTGTATTTAGATACATATTCTAAGGAACCCTACGTAAATATTCTCAGTTACCTACACGTACTTGTATTGTCTATTTACACTTTGATTTGCCTGCCTACTTCTCACTCCTTGTTTTATTGTCATTCACAATTTGACTGCTCTGAAACATATCATTCGCTTCCCGTAGGAATCTAAGAATGTTATATAGGTATTGTAGACAGGCATCTTCTTAAGTATTTGCGGCCCGGGTGTACTTGTGTCGGTGAAAGTATATATATAACAAGCTATAAATGCAATAAGTATAATATATTAATTGTATTTGCTGACAGCAAAGTAGGAACTTGTGGTCCTTTGCGAGTTCCATTGACCACGAGTATCGCGTGACTACCTGCATATCAGTAACGGATGAACCAAACAATCAAACAACACTATCACAACATAGTTATGTACGTAAACGTGTAAACAATTGACTCGCGTTGGCCAAGTAGTAGTCGGTGGGTAGTGGGAACATACTCGTAGTGAATAAATAACGAATACTATCCACGACCCACGACATCTTTACAACTGGTGAGACAATTTGGTACGGTTGGTTGGTTGGTACCTATTTCAGTTTACTTACATCAAAATAGTAACATCATACCTCTTCGCGAACGGACATAGAGGACGTTTTGATTCCCATGTAGAATTCTCTTCGGATTACGCAGTCTTGCTAGCACTGTGTCGGCTGTCCCATTGACGGAGTAAGCGTTATACCATCAGCTACGCGGGTGACATGGTGCGCATCGATTGCAGCCTAGGAAATTGATAAGCATCTAACAATAGTCCGCGGCAGCTCATGGAATCCGATCAAGAGTGAGGTCATGATATTCAAGGCAAATGGTATAATGCTACCATATACCATTAGTTCGAATTCATTAGGAGAAATGTGAAATAATCAATTTCAGATAAGAAATGCTTAGTGTGTTGTGTACAAACTACTCGATTAATCATCATAAACCGTGGGTTAATGGGTTAATAGTTACAATACTTGTGTCGATCACTTGGTTGGTCGGCTCATCGGCTGCCGCGGCCGCCGCCGTGGACCTGCTGCTGTTTCATTTACTAGCTGTGTGCTGCGTGTAAATATTTGTTTCACCGGCACATTTATTGTTCTTTGGGTAAGGCAATCGCTTGATGTAGGTACTAGTACGTGTCATGTGGTTCGATTCCATTTCTTTTTGGGATGTACAACTTAACTGGCCCCGTATCTAGATGATGGTTTGGGTCTTTCCACACCACTGTAATATAGGTCTTTCCAGATAAGATGGTTTGCCATAAACTACACGCTTGGCGGGAAGGCTCGAAATCAGTTTTTTTTTATGGCATAAGCCGGTAAACGAGCAGACGGATCACCTGATGGTAAGCAATCGGCGTCGCCCATGGACACCTGGAACACCAGAGGCGTTACAAGTGCGTTACCGGCTTTTTGGGGATTAGGAGTATAAGGATCGTTGGGGATTCAGGGATTGGGGAGATTGGGGAAGATGAGGGTAATTGGGCCTCCGGTAACCTCACTCACACGACGAAACACAACACAAGCGTTGCTTCACGTCGGTTTTCTGTGAGGCCGTGGTATCACTCCGGTCGAGCCGGCCCATTCGTGCCGAAGCATGGCTCTCCCACACTTGAAGTTGAAAAGGTTTAGATTCGTTCGTTTATTAGAGAGTATTGCTGCCGAATTCTTCGTGTTTCTTGCCTATGACAGAAGAGAAACTGACTAATGATAGGTGGCAACTTAGCAAGTATCGATCGCTGTGATTTTTTTATACCGAGCAGTACTAAGGTACGTACTTAGGTACGTAAAAGTCGGAAAACGATGTAAGAAGATCGACTTGGACTAGACTTATAATGACTCTAATTATTACAACTTTTGTGTCAGACAAGGCCTTCTGTCAGCAGTGAGTCAGTAACAGGCTGACGATGATGTATAATGAGTCTATATTTGTTTTCCAGGTATCCTCGTGACATTCACTCATACGCTACAGCAGTCACACGCAGCCTGCACGGTCCGGTCGGACGGGCCCTGCTTCTACACCCTCGCCTGCAGTGCCCCCGCCACATTCCGGCCAGCCTTCGACTGCAACGACATAGATCCCTACATCACTCTCCACATCAAACAATCTTCTGGCCACAACATCACAGCTAACCACTTTATCTCCGAGTTCGATTCCTTCGTTAGAATTCTGTCCGCTATCGGAAACAACTGGCATTATTTGCAAAACAACGCATTCAGCAACTTCAAGAATGTACTCTACATGGATCTGTCCGAGAATCACATAAAAATGTTGGGAGCCGCCTTCAGGGGCCTGGAACAAATGGACTCGTTAAACTTGTCACGGAACCACATCGAAACTATTAAACCTGGTGTGTTGCAAGTCTCCCATAATAGAAGTCGTCTTTACATGTTGGATCTGTCGTACAACTTGTTGATGCATTTGTCGGGAGAGGCGTTTGTAAATATGAACAACTTGAGAAGTTTGTATCTGCAAGGAAACAAGTTGAAGACGTTGGGAGACCACTTCTTCGTGAAGTTAAAGCATTTGAACTACTTGAATTTATGTTGTAGCAACATGGGAACGCTTCGCATGACATTTAAATATTTGCCGTCTCTGAAAGAATTAAATTTATCTTATAATCGTTTGAAGAAAATCGACTTATCTAAAGTAATGTCGCTGGAAACAATTGATTTGTCTCATAATGACTTCGAAGAGATGTACTTTGAGGATTTCAAAGGTTTACCAATAATAAAAGTAGACCTCAGTTTTAATAAACTGAAGGAACTGAACGTTGAAGACAGTGTCGTAGGCAGCAACGCAAGTAGACCACTAGTCAAATTGTATCTCCACAATAATAACATAGAGTACATAGACGAGTCTTTCTTTAATATATTTAGTTACATAGCGATATTAAATTTAAGTTACAACAATATTGTCGAGTTTAAGGCTGACACTTTCCGATATGTGAATGTGTTAAAAATTTTAATTGTCTCAAACAATCGTAGACTACGTTTAGCCGACGATATAAGTAAAGAGTTACCTCACACGTTCACAATAGGAAAGTTTCCACCAAGTCAAATCCAAAATCAAGTATTTACATAGAAAGCACTCGGGTATTTATTTGTTAGGTTACAATAATTATGTTAGGTAGGCATGTATACATTACTGTACGTTAATGGCACAATGCCTGGCCAACTAGCTGCGAGCCTGTGACCTATGTGCAACACTTTGCCATACTTTTATCATTTAATATATACTAGCTTCTGCCCGCGACTTCGTACGCGTAATCCCATTTTTTCTCGTCCCCGTTCGTGATTTTCGGTAAAAACTAAAAAAGAAGTATTCGTTAAAAAGTATCCTATGTCGGTCTCCTGGCTCTAAGCTACCTCCCTACTAATTTTCAGCCAAATCTATTCTGCCGTTCTTGAGTTATAAGTGGTGTAACTAACACGACTTTCTTTTATATATATAGATTGGCAGCATCGTCATTTTGACAATGGTGATATCCACCGCAGATGGGCACATGAAGTACTTACATTAATTATAATCTTTATATAAATTGAACTATAATCTAGGACACAAATTCAGTCCTTTTCACATTTTTTTATTTTTGTGGTACAGATATTACAACATAACACGCCTTTAACTTCCAAGAGAAACCAGAAGTGCATAATAATAAATATAATATTTAGGTGTTCAATGAAAACTCATTTTTTACTAAGTATTAAAATGTTTTTAACATTTATGTTTTGGTTTTTATGATATTATGGAATGGAAGGTAATAACCTTAATCTAAGTGCCTAAAATGGTATGCATAGATGCGCATTTTGAAAATTTTAACCCTAACAATTGAGTACTTTTCAATAGATAGAAACAAAGAAAGAAAACCTGTTTATTTTTGATGTGCTGACATAGGGGGGGGGGGGAATATAACATTTAACAGGTTTTTGTCCCTCGACCAATATTCTGGGGAATTATTAGACGGATGCCTAAAACACGCACTGCTACTTGCCACGCCATCTTGCGAAGATCTTCGATCTATGAGTCAACAGAATTGAGAACCGCTAGATGGCAATAGCAACGAGTCTCTACGTCACGTAGACTTACGAGCACAGGAAGGACAGGCAGCGCTATTGCCAAAAAACGTTACACAGAAAGTAGATCTCTACACGGAATCACTACTCATAGTACTACAATACATGCATACATAACTTCACGCCTGTCTCCAATGCGGGTAGACAGAGACTATGGAACGCCAATTCCTACGATTCCTACATGCCTCTTTCGCTTCATCAACAGTCATCAATCTTTCTCTACATGCATGCTCGTCCGTTAGAGGTACTTTTGATTTGGCCCTTCTTTAATATATCGCCAATCTGGTCAGTATATGTACGTCTAGGGCGCCCTCTACCGACGGCGCCATTCATATTCGCTCAGTATACTTCTTTGAAAGAAAGAAAGAAAAAACATTTATTCGACAGTAGGCATAGCCAGGTACTTAGTACCTATTTTAATTTAGTGACAGCTGTGCTGCGCTCAAACAGAACAAAGAAACAGTTGCCTTCCACGGGCCACAGGACACAATAACCAACGGCAACATAGTCTACGAGTGGTGGAGTGATTGCAATTAAAAAACAAATTATTAAAATAACGCCAAAGTACAACACGCTGAGCACCCACATAAGGCGTCCAGACTTGCACCTTCTTTCGTTACTCTACTTTCATCCATCCTTTCTACATGCTCAAACCAGCGTAACATTCCCTTTTCAATACTTGTTACAAACTTACAACACTTTCAATCCACACCTTTCTCTACACTATTTTTCACTCGACCACTCAATTTTAGTCCACACATACTTCTCAGGGCACTCATTTCCACCGCATTAATCCCGCTTTCATGCTTCTTCTGCCACACCTATGATTCACTACCATACATAAGCGTTAGTGTCAATACACTCTGCATTACAGCAAGTCGAGCTTTGCTGGATATTATTTTACTCGACATTACAGAGTGTAAAGCACCATTAACACTATTTCCCGCTTTCACTCTCTTTTCTATATCCCCGCCACACTTTCCATCTCTCGTAAATAGTGATCCCAGATAAACAAACTCATTCTCTTGTTCCAATTTTTCATCACCTATCATTACCTGACATCCTGTTATCACCTCATTTCTTTCAAACGCCAACACTTTTGTCTTGTTCACATTTACTTTCATACCTTTCCTTTCAAATGCATCATTCATAAGTGATCATTCGTTGTAATTCTTCGGCCGACGAGGCAACAAGCACCGGTCGTCGGCATACAACAATGTTTTAATCACTGTGTGACATTCATTCTTAACCCAGACTCTCCTACTTTCAAATCGTTCAATCAGCTGTCCATGAATAGGTTGAACAGCAAAGGAGATGCTACACAGTACACAGCCTTGTCTATCATGTTAAACCACTCTGCAGGCCCCAAAGAGTATAATAATTAGGCAGGCCCTATTTATTCTGAAACAGGCACTCGAGTCCTACGAGCCTTTTCTAGATCATATAGAAACAGAATACTCTGATAAGACTTTCTCTGAAATGCACCGTAAAGAAAAGACTTGATCCGTACACTCCATTCCCTTTCGAAATCTCGCTTGCACATCCCAGATTTTATTCTCAGTTACATCCACCACTCTTTCAATCAATATCTTGGCATACAAAGGGCATTGACTAAAATTGGTGCCTTTCTTTTTTCTGGCGGCAGTCGATGATTTATGGAAAATATTATCTAGAATGATATTACAAACGAAATTGTGTATGGGCTTATATATGGAAATCTCAGTCTGGACTGAGTTATTAGCGTTGAAAGGAGCTGGAGTCGAACATTTTACATTGTTTTTTTTTAATTATTCATATTTTTGTCAGAATCCCTATCTTCAAATTGCGCGCAACTGTACGCCGGGTACAGGAACACCATATTACACCACAATATAACCATATTGCCGGGCACTAATTTTTATTACCTATTTTCTCTCAGTCGATAACTTGTAGGATGCTTCTAGGAGTTGTGTCATGAGCTTCATGAGCGTCAGATGTGGTACCAGTGGTGGGTTGAGTAGTTGTAGCCGTCCAAACATCTAATAAAGTATTATTTTTGCCGTTGACTTCTGGTGGGAGACCCAATAGTCAACATATAACAATTACACGTCAGATGGACTAAATAATGTGATCAGTCGAAATAAAATCTATCACCTTGTGACTGAATGAACTGAACTTATGCTAGCTATAGATTAGAGTAGTTAGATTAGTTAGTAATCGGGACTACTTAGTCGGGAGGAGACAGAAAAATGATTTTTTCGTTTTTTGACGACTGCCGCTACTCAATCCGCTATTGACGTAACTGACAAACATAACATTTCATGATAGGGCTCATTAAAATATTTCGCGGGTTTTTGACTGAGAGGAAATTGATCATGAAAATCTATTATAAGCCATAAACCGTGTACATACAAAGTGAACGCGCCAGCCAATCAAGCAAAATGTTTTTTTTTTTACTTCAGCAGTAGCCAGTTAATGGTTCATTCAGTTCTAATTCCTTGCCTTTATAAAAAAAAAAACAAGTAAAAACGCCCACAATAAGCTTCATTATATTCCTTGAAATCGTTTATAATTATTTATTACAAAATATTTCTGTACAAGTAAATAAAGAAATATGCGTTGTGAACGGTCATCATGAACAAAATAACAGGAATAATATAGCACTATTTTCACATCTTTGAACTGATTTAACTCGGTTTGGACTGTTTTTGATATAAGGCCCCATATATTTTTTTGTTTGTAATATTATTCTGCTTCAGTTTTTCCACATCCGATCAACTGCCGCGAAAAAATGAAAAGGCATCACGCTCCATACAAATTTGGTCGTTGTCATTTGTATGGGAAACTTTATTGTATTAGTATAATGGTATGTATAAGTGTTAAGTTTTAATTTCATTATAATTAGGTAATAATTCCTAAAAGATGTGGTAAGACTGATGGCTACACTATCGTATTGGAATGTATCTGTTATGGTAGTTATTAGTGCATAAATAAATAAATAAAATAAAAAGTACCCTACTGCGCTTAGGAGGCTATACTGCGATAATAATTTATGCACTCCTGCTGACATCCCTTTCCTTTATACAGTGGCACAATTACGGCCTTGGTTCAGTCTCCAGGGACAGGACCGCATCGTAATAATTAAATTATGATGCTGGATTAATCGAAGAGTTCCCAGACACGCACCGGTCGATGGTTTGTTGATTTCTGTTCAGTTTACGTTGTTGTCGATGGAACACTTTTCGACTACTTGAAGCTGCAACACCAGGTGAATGAAACAAACTTCTTCGTCACATAATTTATTCAGTTCCGTAATAGTAAGTAACCTTATCAACTTAAACACTATGACTTAAAGAAAACATCACATTACAACGCCATCTTGCGGCCCTCTATGGAGATCTCGACGGCGCGTCGTGACCCGCTCTTCATGCGCTTCTGGTCCATGAACCGCTTCATCTGCTTCTCGTAGCGCGTCATCTTCTTCTTGGTGGTCTGTAACAGAGGACGGGCCCGTGAGTGCGACGCAGTACGGGAGAGCGCGTAATGTAGCAGTACTCACCCGCGACATGTCGAGCTCGCACGTGGACTTGGGGCGGTAGACGTAGTCCTTGGACGACGGCGTGGGCACGCGCGCGCGCGCCACCCAGCCGGGCGCGCCGGGCCGCGCGGGGGC